CCTTATTCCATTACTTCACAAGTACATAGTAATTTTTCAAAATGTAATAATTGTATCAAGTGAAGATGATCTATTTTTCGATTTTCGCATATTAAATTAACAGAAATTCAACTAAATGAATATGCCATACGATAAAATAACGAAGACGTCAATCATAACTTCAATTTATTCACATATATAAAGCATGAATATTGGATAACTTTAATTTTTGCCTTTTATTGCAAACACTCATATGAATGTTGATTTTTAGTAATCTGACTTGTTTTATCAAGCTCAAGCTAAGTAATAGATGAGCTTTACTAGAACTAAGATGCTCTAAAGTGATGTAAAACATCTCTCTTCCTCAGGTTCTTAATATGAACATTCAAATTAACCTTTTTCAAATTACTATGTTTTATTCACAACTAAAAATCTGTAATTTTAATTATCTTTAGGTAACCATATTAGTTTAATTTAACAAAGGGACATTAATGTCTAAATTGATGAATTTAATTTTGTTGAACAACTAATGAACTTCTAAGTTTAGTTTGTGTAACTGCAGTGTGCGCATTAGACAGTTTTCACATTCCAAGGCTAGATCATTTCGTAAAATTTTCGAAATCCATCTATATTTACAAAAAGATAGCTTAGTCATGAATCGTTTCATGGTAGCATAACTACAGAAAGATTTTCTGGATTAGTATATTTAAAACTTAATAAAAAAATACATACTTTTTCGAAAACTGAAATATTTGTACAGATAAAAAAGAGGATACATTTGTTTGAATGAAACATCGTGTAAGGAGAGCAAATTGGCATTAGAATCCCGAAAAAAAGTATTTATTAATGTCTAAATTCCTGATGTTCTAGCTTGCTATTTAAAAACTAGGTACCGAATTGTGATATATTTATGCTTTTGCACAATAGCTTCAAGAAGTATCGAATCGATTACTAATTAAACGTATTTCTGATTGCTTTCATCGATTTGTTAATTTTAGATTGGTAAAAATTGAATATACTAATTAGATTTTAATAATAAACCAAGCACTGGTAATTATTATCTGTCATATTGAAAAATAATCAGATAAATGATACAGCAGTAGCACTATTTTCTTGCTCCATGTATGAACAATCAATAAACAATAATCCTAAGTTGCATAAACGAGTTTTCCCGATTATTTTCTGTATCGAGAAAGCGAAATACTAGTACACCTAGAAAAATGAGTAATTATTATATTTGTAGGCATTTGTTATCGTTACGTTATCATTTTAAAACGCGAACAAACTTAGAATACGGAGCCATGTTTTTCTGGTTTTAAAAAAATTACCCATCAAACATTTGGAAGTTTCATCAGATTTTTTTCTGTGAAACAGCGTATCTGTCTGCCTTAAAATTAGTGATATAACTGTTGAAGTTGTTTATTATTATATCATAATTAGTTCACTTAGCTAGTAGTAGGAATCATAGTTCACTAACTAATCGAGATGACATAGTAAAAGACTGCATTAAATACTTGCCATTTAAAGTGTCGAATCATTGATTGCTTCTTGAATTCCATATTTTTTCCACAGGTAACAGAAGCCATAGTAGAACATAGGACAAAATAAAACAAAGATGCATATCCTATTACTCTTACAAAAAGTTGAACTCTACTCTATGTACAAACGTTTCTATATTTGGAGCCAGTGTATTATCCGTAAAAAACTTTTTATGATTTCTCAGGTAAACAAAACTTTCTTGTTAGTATCAGCTCACATAAATAATATACGGAACAAAGCCTTGTAAAATTCACCAGTTATGCTTAATCTAATTTAAACAATGCTACCTAGGTGAACTTCTGTAAAATTAAAAAAGCCCTCACCATAAGAATGTACTGTCAACTTACTGTATTAATCTTAACTACATTTTCATGTAAATGCTTCGTGAAGTAAACGAAATGAAAGGCTTGCGATTTTCTCTGATTATTGAAATCATTTTAACTAAATTCTTCTGCGTACTGAAATATATGGTTGAGATTTAAATTTAGCCTTGGTAAAACATGTACCTTAGTAAATAGATAAATTAATAGCACTTATCGACAAACATCCGTAAGTATATTGACTTAAAAGAGTTTTAATGCTCACATTTTGTAAGAGAAACCTTTGTTAGTGTCTGTTAGGATTAATCATTAAATCTACAAAAATACAAACTTTCCGTTAAACGTGGTCAAAGGAAGAAACATGATTAAACCATCACGTATTTGGATGGTAATAATAGTTGTGAAATGTTTGTTCACGTTTAGTAAAGTCAGACTACATACTGTACAGTAGATTCACGAGTAGCAGCTAATTTTCTTTCAACTTTTAATTTATTTGAAATGTATTCACAATTCAATCAGGTATATAACTATCAGGGTATCATTTCAAATTATAAATATATTTAAGAGGAAAAGCAGAGTAATGTAAGAGATCACTAAAAACAAGATACTTAATCAGTAACAATTAATCAACATAGTTAACTTGACTGTGTATGTTTTGATTTGCTAGCATCATAAAATATAAGGCAATACATTTAGTTTATTATAAATCTAACGAAAATAGTAACTTTCATGCAGTAAGTTTTTATCAGCAACTAACATGAAAATTGATTTTTTTTTTCCTAGTGGTTTTTATTGCCGTAAGTATCACTAATATTCCAAAACAAAATTCATCCGGGATTTAATGATTTATGTATGAAATTCAGAGTAACATTGTTTGATTTAGCAAAAATACACCCACGAATTGTCAATCAATAATTTATTATTTCACAATTTTGAATAATTATTACAATTGAAAGATGATTTAGGTATTATCGTCATCATCATCTTTCTAATCGAAGTCACAATGTAAAGGATTCATCATATATAACTTAAAGTTAAGTATATATTTTATGTTCAATGTTTATTAGTAAAAATAACATTCCTCTTGTCCTAGAACAACTGCATAAAAGGAAACATGTTTTGTTAAACAAAGTTTACTTAAGTGAAAGACAATGATGTCATTATGCTGAAATTATATTAACTCATAGTTAGGATATTTAATCGTTCTTGTTTGCAAGCATCAAAGTATTTGAGTCTGTGAAACAATATTTTTCAATAAAAAAATACCTTACAACTAGAAATCTCTCATTATTTCGTTATTATTATAATTTAATTAATAATTAATTCTACGTAATTTTCAGTACTTTTTTTCATTAAGATTTTTTTCCTGGTCATAGTGTGAATATGTCATAATATATTAGAGAATATTCATTATACTTTGTATAAAACAAAATGAATTATTTATCAAGCAAACTTATATGTACTTTTGATAACCACATATAAGTAAGATTTCATTTCAAGTTATGTTCTGAGATATTACAGTAACTGCATTGATAAGTTTTCTCTATAAATATTAGGAAAATTTATTAACTGAAGACCACCAAGTTTTTTTTTAATTATGTTTAGTTTTAATGTCAATATAAGCTTGTTTAAGTTATAAATGAATGCTTGTCTTATTGAAGAAATCTATAATATGCAAGATATATCTTTCTAATTTCTAGTAGATACTCAAATGTGTAAACTTATTTGAGAAAGTCAAAAAATGGATGATATTATAACCAACAAACTGGAAGAAAATTATAATTGAAATTCAGCAAACAAATCATTGACAGATTGTTAAATTTTTTCCAAGTTAATCAGTAAAAGCCACACTGAAATGACCATAAGTTTGAAAAAACCTTGGATTTATATAGATACAGACTCGGGTGAAAATATGTGTTTATTTTTTGAATCATGAAATTGCGTACCTTTATTTATTCGTTGTTAAATAATGTACACAAATTTAATAAATAATAAAATACCATTTACTTTCATCTACATATATTTCCCAAGGTTAAATGACGGCTACCAAGGTTGCATAAGAAACAATGTGAACGAAAATCATGAAATAGTTTGTTTATTAAACAGTTATCAGTTTTTTCATATACTTTGATCATCGTTTATATTTTTCACACATGTAACATTTTATTGCTGACGTTTCTTATTTAATATCCATTAACAAACAGTTTATCCCCTGGATGTATCTCATAATTCGTGTTTTTATTAGAGTCTTCCATTATTTGCATAATGTTAGTAAAAACAAACAAAACTACTAATCCTTATCAATTTAAATTATTTTCTTTCTATACTTCATCAGGTATCATCCTCTTTTGAAAAAGTTCAAGGATTCACATGTGGCATTTTGGAACCGTTTTTATTTTGAGCTTTCTCACAAGATACATTGCGACTGTTACACTTGTGATGACAGATAAGTTAGCGTTCAGCAAGAATGGGAAGGCAAGAGCAACATTTCTACAATTGAAAGATATCTGGAACTCAAAGTATTTGTCAGCCACCACTAAAGTCACAATTTTCAATATGAAAATCAAAACAGTTCTGTCATATGAAGCGGAGACCTGGCGAATTGTGAAAGACATCACCAAACTGATGTCAACACAATATACTCCGGATCAGTTGGCCGGAAACCATAAATAAATACCTATTGTGATAGAGAAAAAAAACTTGCTTCTAGCTAAGCAACCAATTTGGAAAAAAAAACGCTAGAGTTCGGTAGGACACTAGACTGTGTCACAGAGTAAGCCCTCATATGAAATCTTCAGTGTGAAAAAAACAAGGCAGACAAAAGAAAAAGCTGTGTCTAGAGTCATTTTCAAAGAATGAATAGCACTTTAGAATGGAAACATGTAATTCACTGTCAACTAAGAAACTGAGGTAATAATCCATCCATCGGTAAGAAATTGTTTGTTTTGGTTGAAACTCCTTTTTACCTGAATGGTTAGGGTTTTTCAGGACAATAACTCAGATGGAGATAGGGATATGTAGGAAATGAAACTGTGAAATGATTACATATTTTTACAACTGAATATATATATATATATATATATATATATATATATATATATATATATTGTCATTGTCATCAAATTTATTTACACATGATAAAATCTAAGTCAGAAAACTTACTTAACAAGGTTGTGATTGTGATTGCATTGAGTGGGCAAATGGTTGTGTATAAATAATTCATTTACTCTAATTTAAATGATGATTTTAGGATACAAGTTGAATTCCAATTAATATTCATAGTAACGACATTACTATCGGTAGCATAAATGAATACCAAATAATGTTTAAATGTTTAACAGAACTAATTTTTTTTTCATTGCAAACCTTGATTCTGTTGATTTGTAAAATACAGTAGCTTTTAGATATATATTTAATATGACAGAATTAATGACCAATGAACGAAATTATATTTTTTCCCATTTCAGAATGATAAAACACCAATCAGTTTTCAGATGAGTTTCGTTTGAAAATGAATGATAAATACTCTAAAATAGACTAAGTGGAAAAAGATGGATAGGCTATAGTAGAAAAAACAACCTGGTATCGCAACACAATCCTTACATATTTCGTTACTGATTTTGACCACTTTTGGAATATATACATAACCTTTGAAATTTATTATCAACATTTCATCTATTCATATAAAAATCAACACGATTTATTAAGTCAATCAGCAGATTAGCACTGTTCATTGTTGACATCAATAGGCGCAAGCCTAATGTGTGTGCTAAGCTACAAAACACCTAATCAGTGGAATAACTTTAACTTCATCATAAGCAGTATGAAAACCTTGGGACTTTGATGGATCTAAACTTCTATACATTTGAATGGTAACATATAATACTAGGAAAGAATGCTTATTTAACAGGTATTCTCACACTCGAAATTTCAATACTCAAGCGGATTAGAGCTTATTTATTTCTTTAGGGTTCCCCTATGACAGTCAGTACGTGGGTACAAATGTTCACTAATTAAAATAACCATAAGATTTCTTTTAGTCTTGCTTGTAACATTTTCAAACATTCTACGAATTGTGCATTTTTTTTCTATTGTGATATAATAAGAAAATTGGTGAAGTTTCAGTCTCAGTACAAAAAATTACAATTAACATATCTTAAGGAGAACGAGCTGCAGATTAATTTGCATATTTTTCGTTGCTCAATAACATTAATGTGAATAAGCGATTAGGATTGATCAGCAGATTTTCCAATTTCATACTTATAAAGCAATCAAACCTATTTTACAAAATAATATTCCAGAAATATAATCACGTCATATTATTATTAGTAGTAGTACAGTTAGAAAATGAAAAAATGATTTCATTTTCGATGAAAAGATACTTGAGGGTGTAACGTTTAGCATTTGGTAGATTTGAATTTAGCCTAAGAATACCTTATTTGCTTGAGGAATGCAAAGACCAGTGAACTGGGGAGTCTAGAAGAGAAATAACAGGAGAAAAAGTGGGCTGACAACGAAATAAGCGCATAGAATGCTTACTTACTTACTTACTTAAGCCTGTTACTCCCAATGGAGCATAGGCCGCTCACCAGTTTTCTCCAACCAACTCTGTCCTGGGCTTCTCTCTCCAATTCTGTCCAATGTTTGTTCATTCCTCTCATATCTTTCTCTATTTCTCGGCGTAATGTATTCTTTGGCCTTCCTCTTTTCCTTTTGCCTTGAGGGTTCCATGTGAGGGCTTGTCTCGTGACGCAGTTAGGTGCTTTTCGTAATGTGTGTCCTATCCACTTCCACCGCTTCTTCCTGATTTCTTCCTCCACTGGAATCTGACTTGTTCTCTCCCACAGTTCGTTGTTGCTGATGGTGTCTGGCCAACGAATACGAAGTATTTTGCGTAGACAGCTGTTAATAAACACTTGTATCTTCTGGATGATGGCTTTGGTAGTTCTCCATGTTTCGGCTCCATACAGTAGAACTGTCTTGACATTTGTATTGAAAATCCTGATTTTGGTTTTGTTTGAAAGTTGTTTGGAGTTCCAGATATTTTTCAACTGTAGAAATGCAACCCTCGCTTTGCCGATCCGCGCCCTCACATCTGCATCCGATCCACCTTTCTCGTCGATGATGCTGCCAAGATATGTAAAGTTGTTAACGTCCTCGAAAGCATCTCCATCAAGCGTGATTTGATTGGTGCATGTTGTGTTGCATCGGAGAATTTTGCTCTTTCCTTTATGTATGTTGAGACCTACTGCTGCAGAGGCTGCTGCTACACTGGTCGTCGCATAGAATGCACCTACAGTTAATAATCAGATCAATCGATAATGGTTAGAAATAATACAAGATCGATGTAATAATTGAAACTAGAAGCTGATAGTGACAAGCATGAAACAAACTCTATGAAATTCCAGCTAGTTCTCAGCCAATCAGAAAACAGTCACTGAAAATGGATAGTCTTTTGAAAAAAGCAGTAATTTCTTCTTCAGGTTACTCTACTTGCAAACCGAAAGAACTGCATATAAGTTCGTCTTAATGGAATAAACGTTTATGTTCTAGTACTTTTAAAAGGCCTTTAATGTTCCCAATTAGCATCAGTCATTAAGAATAGGAATAAGATGTATACGCTTGAAGTTTACAATTACAAACTGACTTCAGAAATAATGTTGAATTGCTCCGAACCCGTTTAAATGGAAACGTTTCGCTCAAAGTCAGAGCACGTGAGTAGTTTGTTTATAAAATGTCATGCTGTCATGTCATAGTTTGTTTTGGAATTAAGGGTTAAGAGTCAGAACTAATAGCTTCTGCCAATTTTCTTACTAAATACTATCCAAAAAGACAAAATTAGACACTGAATATCTTCAACACTAATATTTTACTTTACGATTGCAAAATATAACTTTTTGAAATCACTTTCAACATTTTGAGTGGTGTACAAAGTATTCCTACTGTTCATCGTATATAATATTGAATTCCTTACCAAACCCTAAAAGTCGCCTTTTCAAATTCTTACTGGTATGTGTGTAAAGTTGACATTTAACATATCTTCGATATACATATCGACATGTATCTTATACAATACAGGAATTGAATTTAGTAATTATATTCATAGTTGAACACTAACTATAAATTATTCTGTGTATCTATGTGGTAATTAATAATCAATCTCAATGTTTGAACGTTCGTTTCATAAATTCAGTGTTATGTTACACGATTGCTACACAATAATTGGTTTCAACTATATTCTGCTTACCGGTCATCTTCTGATTATGCTTTAGAATTCTATATCCAACACCCATTAACTTGAAAACCAGTATAGCGAAAATAAGTTCCGCTTTTATTGAATGGCATATATATATATATATATATATATATATATATATATATATATATATATATAAATTTATGTATGTTGGCTTATATTTGACAGATCAAAGTTGTTCTCTGATTAATTGTTTAAGTGGTCATACTGAGCCTTAAATCGTCGTTAAAACGAGCATCAAAATGTTAGCTGTCCAGTGCTCTATTCTAAAAATCTGAATCTAAGTAATACACTACATTATTGTCGTTCAAGCAAAGTTCAACAGTAACCGCTATAGTTGTATACATACTGTTTCAAGAACAAATCATTGAGCAATTCCATTTTCAAAGTTTCTCCATACATTTTTATTTTTTAAGTTTCCTGTATACCTGTACGAAATAAAAAATTTAATTATAATGGACATAGGTTGTTAAACTGTATACATCTACCTGGTTAAATCAGCGAATTAAATAATTTAAAATTGTAAATTTTCTCACAAAACTCTCTTCAAATATGCTAAAAAAAAATGTAGTGCTTTATCAGTGCACATCACCATCGCAGTCATATATGAATGAGATTAAGAAACGTATTCACCAATCTTTCACAATAATCTTTGGGTAACAACACAATTGTGAATAGGTGAATAAGTTTTCATGCTTATATGATTGAAACTAAAAATGTCGATTTTCCATCTTAAAATGTTCTAATTCTTGACTAGATTTAATTGGAAAAAATTTCATACAATCGACTAGGAAATATTTAGTTGTATATTCTTCATCTTTTTTTTGTTAATGATTTCAATTCGTGAACGATTAAAACTATAGATTAAATCGATCTAATAATGATTATTTTAGGAAACATATGAATGCTTAGTAAAAGCTGATGTGTAGCTTATGGTAAAGACAAAATTAATTACTTTGATCATTAGGAAGACTTTTGAATGGTGAAAAATTTTTTGTTAGCTTTTAGTTTAATCCACTCATTTAATAAACCATGTAACGCAAGAAGTTTAGACTAACTCACTTTCTTCTATTCATTCAAATGGTACTTGAATAATTACTCAACCGTAAAGTTTAAATGCTACGTGATTATATCCAGTTTTTTTTTCAATACATTTCAGATCTCCGAAATAAAACTTTTAACCAAATGTCCTAAACATACTTAAAAACCATATCTTCATTGTCAGATCGTACGAATATTGACTTGATTTTATTGAACTGATTATACACGAATGGAACATGATATTTTATTCTGCTTGATCTATCCTTAATCATTTTAAATCTTTAAATTTTATTTTACTTATCCCTTGATTTCCTATTAGAGGAGAATTATATTGGGCAGTGTTTATTAATCACCCTTCATATTGCTTATTTTGAAACAGCACAAATACAAGCTGTTGTTCAACTTTTAAAAGGGTTTATTCATGTGTCAGAGACGTCCTCATCAGGGCATAAAATGATAGCACGAAAGTAGGCATAACCTTGATTGAAATATCCTATACTTGTCACGCCTCTTAATAGATATTTAAATAAAATTGGTTCTAATTTATAATATATATGGAAGAAATAATTAAATCTTCAAATAATCATTCCTTTGAATAAGCCAGTTAAAAGAAATTTAAATTCTGTTTAAATATCCAGCACAGAGTTTGACTGTCGTAATACCCTCTCATTTAAAACAATTGTGTTTCCACTGGGAAAACATCGATTTCATATTCACGTATACGTGAGCAGGTAGTTTAAGTAAAATGCTCTCATTACAAACGACTGATCTAATTCGTATGTTTATTTCTGATATGGTCTTGAACAGCTTAAATGGGGTGAGATTACCTACAACGTTTTATTCATCCGATTTATGTTGCATCTAACCACCGCAGTAACCGCTAGAGTGCCAGATAGAAAATACGAATGGTTCGTAGGGCTGTATACAACTCTGGCAACTCTATAAATAATATTTACATCCATCTGTGACTTGACACGTTATTTGAATAGTAATAACTTCTTATTTATTGACAGCATTGGGAATGACCAACAAAATTAGTACCTAAGCTACTCGTTACTGTTATATTCAAAGA